TGATCAATCTGTTAATTCCAAAGGATTATTAAATTTACGTTTTAGCAACAACATCCCAGGATCAAAACTACGAGGGAGAATTGGAGTATGGCAAAAAGCACGGAAAAGGCGTTTACACGTGGCCTGATGGTCGCCGATATGAGGGACAATGGAAAGATGACACGCAGCACGGAAAAGGCGTTTACACGTGGCCCGACGGTCGTCGGTACGAGGGAGACTGGAAAGACGACATGAAAGACGGAAATGGTATCGAAACTTTAACCGACGGCGAGCGGTATGAGGGAGAGTGGAAGGATGGCAAGAAGAGCGGAAAAGGTGTTTACAGCTGGCCCGACGGTCGTCGGTATGAGGGACAATGGAAAGATGACAAGCAGAGTGAAAAGGGCATTTACATCTGGCCCGATGGCCGCCGGTACGAGGGAGACTTGAAAGGCGACGTGAAAGATGGAAATGGTATCGAAACCTTGGCCAACGGCGATCGGTACGAGGGAGACTGGAAAGAGGATAAGAGAAATGGAAAAGGCGTTTTCATCACGTCCGACGGCGATCGGTATGATGGAGAATGAAAAGATGACGAGCAGAACGGAAAAGGCATTGGCACCTCGTCCGACGGCGATCGGTACGAGGGAGACTGGAAACACGATAAGAGAAATGGAAAAGGCATTTTCACCTCGTCCGACGGCGATCGGTATGATGGAGAATGGAAAGATAACGAGAAGAACGGAAAAGGCATTTTCACCTCGTCCGACGGCGGTCGGTATGATGGAGAATGGAAAGATGACGAGAAGAACGGAAAAGGCGTGCAGACTTTACCCAACGGCAATCGGTTCCAGGGAGAATGGAAAGATGGCACGAGGAACTCAACGGGCCGTCTCACCTACCCGAACGGCGCTTATATCCAGGGACACATCAGCGACAACATGCTGAAAGGAACATACGGAGCTGTACAATGGACTTATACGTATCAATAAATGAAGAGTGATTTGTTGTATCATTTTTCATCCTCCGCCACTTGTTTCAACCTTGCTGTAGACTATAATCATTTACCTACATTAGTACCGCGGTGTTTCTCATTGTTTTACAAATAAAAATAAATAAGTTTCTTCCAATTCCTACCATCCTGGGTGGGTGAGTGTGGTTAAGTATAATACTAGAGATGGGTGTCGCAGGTACCCCCCTTTTTGCTCTCTGCACAAAACACATATCCACTTGTTTTTACATTTACAGCTACACACGCACTTAAGATGGTGTGCTTTGTTTGATTTGTTTTAATTTTTCTGTCATTGTTTATACAAGGAAAAAGCATTTATTCACCATCAATTTTTAAATTTTGTCGTCGGCTAGATTTAAACAACAACTTCATGTCTTTCCTTGAAGGACATCAGTGATTCTCCACAAGAATTTTATGTTCTGCCTTAAAGGACATCGGGTATTCTACAGGGGAACCTCTCGCTTTTTCCCAAAACAATCCATGTTTCTCCACAACAACTTCACCATGTTTCCCAAACAAATGCATGTGTCTCCACATGAACTTCATCTTTTTTCCCAATGAAATCTATGTTTCTCCACGAGATCATGTTTTCCTTCGAAGGACATAAGTGATTGTGAATCACTGATGTACTTGAAAGAAAAACATGAAGTTCTTATGGAGAAACATGGATTTCGTTGGGAAGAAACATGAAGTTCAAAGATAGATGAGAAGAAAGAAAGTGAAGTTGGTATAGAGAAACATGGATTGTTTCGGGAAAACACCAGAGGTTCTTGCGCAGCATCACTGATATCCTTCAAATAAAAACATGAAGTTTCCGTGGAGAAACATGTATTTTTTTTTTAAGCAGTTGAATTTTTATTTTAAAAAACACAACAAATCGGGCTTTCTCCCATCACATGCTGTGAAAAAGTAAAATTTAGAAAAAGGTAAGAAAAAAAGTAAAAAAGATAGAAGAAAAAAAATTCTTGAACAGTAGAGGAGAGTGTTCCTATGTGTCAAATAGAGTCAGTTGGTGTTGATAGTGACTTTAAAGCAATCAAACAAGCTACCAGATACAGTACTAGTGGAAGCGTCGAGTATCTGTAATGTATTCTAGCACGCTATGAAACAAGTAATGTATATTATCAAAGTCTAGTTCAGTAATTGCATCATCCTTTAGTAAAACGTGGTCTACTGTTAAAGTTTGAATATGAAGAATACTTTTAAAAACAGATGTTAACTTTTGACGTTCATTTTCATATCGAGAACACTCTAAAAAATAATGTCCAGTGGTTTCTTCTACAGAACCGCATGTGCAAAATGGAGATGATTGTAATTTACGTCTGTAAAGATCATAATTTAATTGACTGAATTCTACTCTAAAGCTTGTAAAGTGAATCTCAGACATTCTAAATTGTGTAGGTTTCAATTTAAACCTTAAAGCATATGGAGTTTTTAGTCTAGTTTTAAAAGTAAAAAAGCTGTTTGTCATTCGATATTCATTCGGTAAATCATTCCAAAGTTTTTTAGTCGCCGGTAAAAAGGCTCTATCCTACACTTGCAGACCAGCTTTAGTAGAAGGCAAAAGATTGCTATTCTGACTACGAAGATTATGCTCTTTCGTATAAGTAGTATGTTGAATGAAGGAAGATGGTAAATCAATGATAGTTCTACCTCTTAATATTTTAAAAAACAAACAAAGACGATGTATTTCAGAAATGGAATATTTAACTAACTGTTCAACTGTATTTGTGTGCTTAACAGTTAGTGGAATCCATCCTAATTCTATGCACACTTTCTCATTCGAAGAACCTCCCACCGTTCCACTAGCAGCTAATGCTGCATTATATTGTATTGTATGTAGTGGTCCAAGAACTTTTTGTGTGCTTCCACAATAAATTACAGAGGCATAGTTTATCTGAGTAAGAATATATGAGTTGTAAATCAGCTTCAGTGCTTGACGCGATAGGAACTGACTCAAATATTTCATACCATCTGCTACTGGAGAACAACCACTAACTGTTGATTGAATATGACAACTCAAATCAAGATTAGGGATAAAAAGCAAACCTAAATGTTTATGCTCAGTAACATTTTCTATCAATTGATACTTAATCTTCAAAGTGGGCAATGTAGTTACTGTATTAGAACGCGTGAAGAACATTGATACACATTTTTTAATGTTAAAGTCAAGCTTCCACTTATTAGACCAATCTTCAACTTTAGCTAAATCCTCATTCATAATCATAAAGTCTCTTTGAATATCTGAACCTTCCCGATGTAGTGATACATCATCTGCATAGAGCAGAGTTGTACTATCCAGACCATTTGGTAGATCATTAATATATATCAAACAAAGCAAAGGACCCAGAACCGATCCTTGTGGCACACCACAGGATATCAGTAACTCATCTGATGTCGAGCCTTCTACAACTGTTACAATTTTTCTATTGCTAAGATAGCTTTCCATCCACAATCATAATTGTTTAGATAACCCAGTACTTGCCAGCTTCAGTAATAAACCATCATGTGGCACTCGATCAAACGCTTTACTGAAATCTAGAAAAATTGATAAGACAGATTTTTTGTTGTTAAACGCATTAGCTATTTTATCTACAATTTGAATTAGTTGATTTACTGCTAAATGGTGAAGCATAAAACCGGCCTGATTAGGGCTGAAAAACAGATTGTTCTCTAGAAAACCGTACACATGCTTAAACACGAGCCTTTCGAAAGTTTTGGACATACAGTTTAGAAGAGTAATAGGTCTGTAATTATTAGGTAGTTGTCTATCATCCGATTTATAAATAGGACAAACATAACCTAGTTTCCAAGCATCGGGAAATTCACCTTTTTACAACGAGTCATTAAAAATGTGGGTCAAGGATGACGTAATAATCGGTGCTGCCTCACGAAGCATTCTCCCACTAATACCCGGCGCACAAGCCTTTGAGACATTTATTTTTGGCAACGATTCAAACACTTCAGTTTCATAAATCATAAATTCCGACATAACAATCGTACTAGATGTAGGTTGTGGGAAAGGACAAGTAGTCTGTGGTAATGTACATATGTGAACAAAGTACTTATTTAAGACCTGAGATTTTTCAAATGGAGTAGTTACTAAATTATTTATTGCTACATAAAAAACAGGAGGAATAGTCAGAGGACTCTCTTTATTTACTGCACGCTTTAAAAATGTCAACCACTTTTTAGATGATGTATTCAATTCAGTTGATTGTTTCTCATAAATCTAACAAGTAGTGCCCGATGTTTAATTTTTTCACTTTGACTCTTATTCTTTTGTTCTTGTCTGGCTGAAATCAATGCTCCAACTCGATGTGAACGTGATAAATCATCCACACCAATTGGAATATCTAATTTCCGAGCTAAATCTAGTACAATGACATCAGTTGACTCTTGACATTTTTCTGGTATACCAAAAATCTATCATATTGTTCTTTTGTTGTTGTTACTTCTATCATATTGTTCTTTTGTTGTTGTTACTTCTATCATATTGTTCTTTTGTTGTTGTTACTTCTATCATATTGTTCTAAATGATTTAATTTATCTTTGATACCAGTTTCTTCCTTTTGAATTTTTTCTGAACATGCTTTCATTACCGCAATCATTTCACTCTGTTTAATACAATATTATCTAATTCATTCATTTTGTTTGTTAGCCTTTTCATATGTTCATCTTGTTCATTAATACGTATATTTAGTCCATCAAACATTGTTTGCATTTGTTGAGCCAATGTATCAATAAAAGTGGATGAATTTATAACAGCAGTTATTATATCCTTCAAATGATATTTTGATGGTTTGAATATCCCTTCATCTGATTCTAGATTATTCAACATTTAAACAACTTTTATCCCGATACACAACTAGTAGCTTTATAAAGAGAGAAGAACGAACAGTGTTGACAGGATGAAAGAAAAAGTTAAACTGATAAGAAAGTTAACGTATACTGGAGAAACATAGACATCTTTCGGGAAAGAGCATGGAGTTCTCATGGAGAAACACGGACTTCCCTAGGAACAAAGAATAAGTTCTTACGGTGAATCACTGATTTCCTTC